AACTGTTCTGGAACAGTGTTGTAAATACAACTTAACCACTGATTTCTAGTCGTGGCCTCTTTTGGAAGACCAAACAAAGTATTTTCGCTTTCGCAACGAAACACAGTGTCTTCACAACATGGCGGTGGCGGCGGCAGCAATAAAGTTATGCCTTTCTTTGCTTGAACATTTGGGCCACACAGTGACGTAGACATGTGGGGGCGTGTTTAAACGAGGTGTTTTAGGAGGGCGTGGACGAGTCTTAACTTTTATAAAGAATATCTCTTTAGGTTTGAGACTTTAGTCTTTGCAACTTCAGGGATCTTATCTATTCACGAACAGCTTGTAACACTTCAAAGAGAAAGGAAAACTTGAAATCGCATCATATGACCCCTTTAAAATGTTGTGGCCATATAGTAAAAGTCAAATGGGGTCCAGTGTTGTGTTGACCCTTTTGACTTTAATTATATGGACAACAGTTCTTCTTTTGTGTTCCACAGAATAAAGAAATTCATACAGGTTTGGAAAAAAGTTTGGAGAAATTTTCATTTTCAGATGAACTATCCCTTTAAATAGTAAATTATGTTGTGTGTTTCAAATATTAAAGAGTCAATTCATCAGCAGCAAAAAAGTATTAACAAAACTGCTTGTTTTCATGAAAATGTATAGTTCTTTGTCTTTGGAATCAACATTACACATTGAACTGAACTGTGACTATATCATCTCACAGATGTATATTGTGTCTTGCTGTTAGAGAGTATTGATTAGTTGATAGTTGTTTTGCAAAGGCATCTCGTCGATGACTTTGTTATCTTTACAAACCTTTCCAAAAGAATGGGCTTCCACTCGTTTCTTGTCCATTGTAGTTTGATGGTAGTTTTATGTAATAGGGGCCCATCCGTCAACACCTACTTTTATTCACACGCAGAGGAATTTCAGAAGGCACAAATTGCCAAGCTGTTCTATCATAAGCTCCAGTGAGAACACCTGAATTAAAAAGCCTTTCTACTGGCCAACTCACTGTCATCAGTCTATCCCTGAATGCCTAGGTGTTTATTCCTCTTCAAATGGAAAGAGTCGGCATGAGTTTACTTTGTACGATATTTTGAGAGAAGCAAACTAAGAGTGGAACAAATGAGTCTAATAATTCTGCAGATGATTTAAAGAAATGTTTCACAGAACAATTAATATTTTGTCATTTACTCATGTCTAAACTCACAAATGCATCAAGGAGTGTTTTCAGTCAACAACAAGTACATTGAAAGTCAAAGGTAACCAAAATAGTCTGGTTACCAACATTCTTCAAAATATCTTTTATGTTCTGACATGAGAGTGAGTAAATGTTGTCAGAAATTTATTTTGGGGGGAAATCCCTTTAAGGTTTTAAGATAAAGGAGATCCAATCTCACAAATTGATATTTAATAATTCAAAGCAAATTGTACTTACTTTACAGTGATTGCTGTAAGAGTCATAACGTTCTCAGACAGGGCATTCAAAATTGGCACATTTGAAATTTGCCACTCTTGTCAGCTTTTACACCTCTCGTGTTCTTACTCTCAGTTATGCTAACCCACATCCATGCTTCCTATTGTTTCTCAGTCATGTTTCCAATCATCCAGACATTTCTGCGATCTCCTAGCTGAGCTCTGAGTCCTGGATTCAAGATCTAGAGTTATAATCCAGTGCTGCTAATACAGCTATTTCTGCACACCTGAGATCAAATACACATTCACTGCTAACAACTGCTAAAGAGGACAGACTGGCACTTGAGATGAATGCAACAGAGCTGGAGGAGCACCAACAGCGAGCACGTTAAAAGCTGACAAAGGCAAGTCTGCTTAAGGAGTGTTTAGGGGTGCTGATCTAGGAGACATTTTCCTAATGAAATTCTTTCACAGTATACCAAGGCTAAAATAATTGCATTTGTTTTCAGCTATTTTTGTGTGCAAGATTATGTCAAAGTAGCTTAAAAAACATGATTTTTTTTTTTTTGTGCATGGTCATGGCTGCTGCTTTGCACAGCAATATAGGCAATATAAATTCAGTGCGCATTCCAGACCCATCCAGGTGGCCTGTTGAAGTCCTTAATCAAACTGTGAGGTATTCTTTAGGGGTGTGCAGTACACTGCAGACAAGGCCTTTAACTTTAAGTGGGTTGACACTCGCCAAGGTGTATGCGAATCACACCTTGCTTGTGAAGTTTTAATAAATGTTCGAATTCAGTCGGCATAGAATGGACGTTCTTCTTGCTCTCCCGATCATCGTAGTAATGGTTGGTGATCGGCCGATTGTCATTTGGATGTTTATTGAAGGGCCAAAAACCATATAAATGGACGTTTGAACAGATTTCTAGTGCTAAGCTGGCCATGATGAGTCCTGTGCTGGGACGAACCGAGTTAAGGCCTCTCTCACGCCAAAACTTCGACAACCTCCTCAAGTATTCTGGATTCAGGAAAACGGGCAGCGGGCTGTCGCTGCCAAAGTCCTCCAGTGTGTAAAAGGCACGCAGGGATACAGGCGTGTTGTGACCGTAGGAGAAGGCTGGCAACAGCAATAAGGCTTGTCCATAAGGACGAAGGCTTTCCACAAATGGACGACGACGCTCCATCAGTCCACTGTACCTGTAACAGATGAGGAGGAGAAAGAAAAGCTTGAATATTCCTCACAGTAATACGGTCCCGTTAACAATGTTTTTAGGTTTTTCAGTTTAGTAAGGAATAAATAGGCCCTATCTGTGAAAAAATAAATGCAATTTCATTGCCAAAGATAAACCCAATAATAAAAGCATAAAAAATAGTTTACAGAAACTTTTTGAAGACTTTTCTCAGACTTTTTAGAGGTGCCATATGAAGTCTGATAAATGGCCTTAACTACATACAACACTATTTATAATTTTATAATATAAGCTATATTTATAATTTATTTATATGTATATTCATACTTTTTTGCAAGTAATAAAGCCAAACCCACAATCACAGACTCACTTCTCATGGAGGATGCTGGGGTTTGCAGTCACCAGGCTGGTTTTGTTGCCCACATCTTTCTCATATCTGTTATCCAATGGCGGAAGGTTGCATCTAAAATGCAAGGGTAGACAGAGATAAAATGAGAGAGGTACCATTTTGGCCTGTGGTCTATATCAAATACAGTGTTAAGTCTTGTAACTACATTTAGGAGCATAAAAAATATGATTAATTATTGTGCCACCAATATTATAGGAATTATACTCATGTGAATTGATATTCTGATCATTTTGACTCTAATCTGGCCAATAGGTAACATGGGTTGATCTAATACATACCTAATGACAAACTGGGCTGAATTAATTTCTTCTCCACAGCTGCTGTTGGCCAAAATACCTCCATTCCCCACCACGGCACATGACTCCCATGTTGCATTTCCAAAGGGCTGCTCCTACAAACACACACACTGTAACTCCGAATTCATTTCGAGAAACCATACAGTAGTTCACCCTATGTTTTAATGCTGGTACACTACCTTAACTAATATGTTGAACAGGGCTTGTGTCACCTGTAGCGGCTTTCTCCTCTCTCCATCATAGATAACATTTGACCCCAGTGGGGTGTTATTCTTTGTGACCACAGCCTTTGACACAGCATAGCATTTGCTACTCAGTAATGACCTGGAAGGAAACAGATGCTCATTCTGATGTGTTGCAGTCATGTGAAAATCTAATGAAAAGACAAAAAGAAGCTTTTATATTTTTATAGTTTATAGGCCAGAAAATCCCTATATGTCTTTGTGTAATAAAGACATAAAATCCAACCTCAAAGGAACAGATCCTTTGATAATAGTTTTCATTTTTGGGTGAACCGTTTCTTTAAAGGGGTCATGAACTGCCTGCTTTTTATTTTGTACTGTTCTCTATGGTCCACTTATAACGTTATCAAGATTACATCAAAGCCATCATAATTTAGAAGTAATATGCTATTTCTGTCCTGTTTTTAACCCCCCTCATCAAAACGCTCTGTTTGAATAGACGTGGCAAATTGTATACTCTGAAGTAAACACACACTCCTATATGATTGGCTAATAGTTGTGTGTTTGACAGTCAACGTCCTTCACAGATGAATGCTTTCAGGTCAAAAACGCATAAATACTCAATACATATCAAACGATCTGTAATGACAGACAAAGCAATAGTCTTATATTAATGTCAAATAATGTCCTGACATTACTGTCAAGCGAGCAAAGGACCAAGTTCTTACTGAAGGGGTCTGGAACTTCCTTAAAAATAAAGTTACTTCACTCTTTTCTAATGTTGGGATCAGAAGGAAGGCAATGCAAAGACTGTTTTTCCACAACTTGGCACTACACAGCGTCTTGTCGTCTTTTTTTGTTTTCTGTGTAGACCTGCGTTGCCGTTTGCCTCTCTCACTCTTTCCAATACATGCGTGAATCAGTGGGCGGGGCTAAAGCAGTGATGTAGAAGCAGGCGTTGTTGTTCTTCCTCTGCAGAGTGTTTATCCACACTATTATATCATAGAGTAGAACATTCCACGAGCTGTCGGTTTGGCAGATTGTCTTCAATATAGGCTATGCTGTTTTTAGACTAATGAGAAAGTTTTGAGTTCTGAAACTTACAGGATGGTGGGAGTAAGTCACACATGTGCAAGTCACAAGTGAGTCTCAAGTCTTAACCTTCAAGTCTCAAGCAAGTCCAAGTCAATTTTTTGTGAGAATCAAGCAAGTCAAGTCAAGTCACTGCTTTGTGTCAAGCAATTCAAGTCAAGTCGTAGCTTGGGTCAAGCAAGTCACTGTCAAGTCATACAAATGATTGATGATTTAACTGAATTTATATATTAAAATAAGTTAAAACTACAGTAGTTATGGACTATAGGAGTTTTATTTGCAACAAAAAAAATGCAATATGCATTTTGTCCACATACAGCTGATATATATATATATATATATATATATATATATATATAAACTACATAGCCTAAAATATAAATGTAACTGAAATTAGGCCAACATAAAAGCATGAAAAGTATTTAGGTACAGCTGTTTCAATATGCCTCAAACATTACAGAAACCCATGAAAAAGTATTAAACAATTCAAGTATGATGGTTTCTATGCCACCAAATGGCATTCTTCAAACAGGCTTCACCTTTGTGGGACATGAACACATCCTTAAGTTAGATCCTTCCTTTTTAACAAAAGAATAACAGCAAGAAAAATGATTAATAATTGAATCACACAAACCTTGCACCCGTTTATCAGGTGGATTGACTATTGTACATTATTAATCTCTCTGTGTGTGTGTGTGTGAGAGAGCGAGAGAGACAGAGAGTGAATGAGTGAGTGGGAGAAGAGAGAGAGAGGTGATTTGAGTGAGTGTGATTTATTAATATTTGTGAGTGAATGTGTGTGCGCGTGTATGAGTGAAAAGTGTATTGTTTGTTTGCATGTGCATGGTTGTACTTGCAAGTTTGAGTTTTTTTTTGTTTGTTTGTTTTTTTTGTATGCATGGTTGGGTTCGCAAGTCTGTATGATTTATTTTTTCTTTGTGTGTGTGTATGTGTATACAATATATTTGTGCATCCCCATAAACTATCCATAGGCTTTTCTCTCAAAGTCTAACACTGAAGACCAGTTATTAGACACTGTACACATGCAAATACTAAGTGCTATTGCAAAAAAAAAAAAAACCTTTCCTTGTAAACATTGAATAATCATTTACAATGCATTGCACTTGCAGAAAAAAATTATTTGATAGTGCTCACAAACTGTATTTTAATGCAGCCAAATTCTCAATAAAACTTTTATATTTTTCTGTTTCTGTTGTAAGACAACGGGATGAATATGAAATAGTGACTGAAACGCGGCCCATTAAGACTATATAACCAGCTCTTCCTTAGATGTTAATCTGCACAAAAACCCTGATTCATAATCAGGACGTCATCTAATGAAATCAAATACATATCAGATAAAGACAATGGCTGTGCTGTGATTTCGGCTATATTTGCATGTAAAATAGAGTTCGAAGCGACAGAATATATTTGAACTAAAGCGCTGCTCCTCTCCGCCGCTCGCTGAACAGAGCAGACGCAGAGAGAGGTGTGTGCGCGCTGGGAAAGAGAGACCTTGCGGCAGTACCAGCGAGTCTCAGAAACTAAATAAGGTTTGTCCAAGGCAGGGACCAGGCCCGGATTAAGAACACATAGGGCCCTGCCCCTGGGGCTATAGCAAATCCAAGGGCCCCCTTTCATAGTAGCCTATCTTGGTGCCACAACGTTTTCTACAACAGGAATAATTCGGTTTTTTTTCTTCTAAATCTCCAATACACAGAGATACAATGTGTATGCACACTAATTATTCCAGGCTACAACACATTAAAAGAATAAATACATTAACACCAGATATATGAAGTCAAAGCAAACAGGTTTCCAGAAGCAGCAACAACTTTTGAGCATATAGGCTACAGCTCCCTTAAGGAGTTTAGTTTAAATAGTTTTATTATTAGAAGGTCTTCTTTCTGGCTCTAGAAGAGGAGAATCATCAGGTGCTGGACTGGTGTTAAAATTCAGCCCATCTGACCCACACAGTCTCCCATAATTTTTTTGCTGGGGTTAGGGCAATTGGAATAAATTATTTATTAATAAATAACGGACGAAAACAAATTATATTTTTGAATACTTAAAATGCATTTAACAATATTAATATTCCATTATATTGCAGGCTCTTAATTATTGAATTCATATTTTTCTGCAATTGAAGTTTATTAGAACTATTAAATTGTCCTTTGTAGGCTAGTTGCCCAAATGAAAAGCTAATTCTTGAATCCAGTGGTGTGGTGCTGTGGATTAAATTGCTTATTTACAGTAGAGTTTTGTGCAGTTTACCTCTACACTTCAGTTTACATGGTCGGTGCTATTCAATCTGGTTTCCGCTAGCTTCACCACAGAGACTTTACTGTTCACATACAGTAGAAGTGTCGTGTGTGGAATTCAAATGGCCAAGCGCTGCTTATTATCACTTCATTAGAGCGGCGAAAGTGTCGAGCTGCAGTCGTTGTCCGCGCTGTGCGGGCGGGAGACACCGGTCCGGTGTGGTCCAGCTGTTCTCTTGCGCTGCGCGGTTTAATCAGGTAACTTAGTGCCGTTTCATCACTTGGCTTTTAGTGTTTGTTTCCCATGCGCTACGGTAAAGCCGAGGCGATTAAAAGATACCCGCAACTCTAGTGTAAACTAGTACAAATAAATTTTTATCGCTCATATCTTTTGGACTGAAATAGTGCAGACAATAATATGTGGGGGCTTGGTGAGATTTTGGCAATCGGCTGGGTGCTCCCGATGGCCAATCAATTCTAAGTCTAATTTTCCTTTCCTCCACAGCCAATCACGTCGGGCCCCCTCAATCCGCGGGCCCTGGGGCTTCAGCCCCGCCTAGCCCTTATGTTAATCCGGCCCTGGGCAGCGTTGCCAGGTTTTCACAACAAAACCCGCCCAATTGCTACCCAAAACTAGCCCAATGGTATTTCGAGGTGGACTCCCCGTTAAAAATAGCCTTCTGGGGGGTAAAATACACATTTTTGGTGGGGTTCCCCAGGTAAAATTCGCACTCCAGGGCCTAAATATCACATTATTGGGGTCACTTTAACCCGCGGACATGAAAAACAACCCGCGGCAACAGTGATAAAGTAGCCCAATTCCACGGGAAAACCACGGACTTGGCAACATTGGTCCAAGGGGTCTGAAAAGGGGTTCGAAAAGTCGCTAAATCTAGCGACAAAGTTGCTAAATTGGCAACACTGTGTCCACGCTCTTACTGCTTGCCTGCTGCGTCACTTGGTTAGGTTGTGTTGCGTTCAAAAACAAACAGATATTTATTAAACAAAATACAAGTTATTTCAAGTCATTTAACTCAAGTCCAAGTCAAGTCTCAAGTCATGAATATCAAGTCAAATTCAAGTCAGGTCTTTTATGAATATTTGTCAAGCAAGTCTCAAGTCCTAAAATTTGCGACTTAAGTCTGATTTGAGTCAAGTCATGTGACTCGAGTCCCCCACCTCTGGTTTTTATACAATGACCTCTTATGTCAAAAGATCAAGGGAATTTTGTTTTCTCAGTTCATGACCCCTTTAAGTAAGCATTTCTGTAGCATATTGTCTGGTTCATGTGATCCATAATCAACAGAACAATACTTTTACTCTTATCCAACAACGCTTTGCCACAGATGCCTCAGTTTAACCTTTATGAGAACATCTCATGGTCCGCTCTGGGATACTGTTTTACCTGAATCTTTTAAAGTTTGCCTCGTGTTTTTTCCATTTGTGTGAGTAGTTCTCCAGTCCCTTGGCAATTAATACATTGTCTCTGAAAGAATTAAATGCATACGAACAGAAATGACATACTGTGGTGGTTCACAAACATGTGCTTCATGAGATAGAAATGCATAAAGTGATTTCAGGTTTAATTTCTATAAGAGAAATGACAGAAATGTAAACATGAACAATTAATGTATAGACACAAACCTGAAATAATTATATTCTATGACTGAAATTAATAAATGAAAAATATGAAAATAAATAAAATGTATAAAACATTAACTATCTGGAGGCATTTATGTTTGGTGTCTGCTATGTAGAAAAAACAGTGATTATGTGCTGTGAAAGCTTACTTGCTGCATCCCTTGCAAGATTTTGTTTCTGAGCTTTTTTGAGGAATCCTAGATGAAGGGTGAGGGATTACATTACTGTAGAGAGAAAGAGATTTAAAATGTACATTTACTCTACATTTACATATAGGCATGCTTGCAGCCAAATTTTTCATGTTTAAACATAAAATTTGTTCTCTGAATGACTAATTTGCTGTTCTAAATAATTCAGTTTAGACAGTTTGCAAGAATGTTTGGCATCCGTTGAATGAAAATGATCGCTGCGAAACGCTGGCGGAGTGAACGAGTCTTGAGTTGTGAGCGCGGGTGCATCCTCCACCATGTTGGCAGATAAACATCTTTGGACTTTTAGTAGTTAAATTTTCACAAAATCATGCTACAAACATTCATAAGAGCACTAGACAAACTTATCATATAGCCATGGTTATGAAAACTATAACAGTAATAACCTATGTATTGTTGCATGAATAATAAACAACTTATCAAATTATCCACCCCTAACCTATTGTAAAGTATTAACAAATTTTGATGCAATAAATATGGTATGATTTAACAATGTTCATCCCTCCAAAACAGAGAAAACATCTTTCACAAACATCTACATGTCTGTAATGAGCTTCCCTGAATGTCAGCGAAGACCAGGACAACTAGATAAGCCCCAGAGTCAGATCCCCAGTGAAGACCTCGTCTCCTAGACGGACATCGGGACAAGACCACAGGAATCAGATGAGTCCTCTGCACAATCTAAATTTGCTGCAGCATGGAACAAACTGCTGGTTCATCTGGCCAGAGGAGAACTGGCCCCCTGACTGAGCCTGGTTTCTCCCAAGGTTTTTTCTCCATTCTGTCACCGATGGAGTTTTGGTTCCTTGTCGCTGTCGCCTCTGGCTTGCTTAGTTGGGGACACTTAATTTCCAGCGATATCATCGACTTGATTGCCCAGATTTAAACTGAACTGAGCTGGACGATGACATCAATGAATTCAATGATGAACTGCCTTTAACTGAAAATTGAGTGTTTACTATTGTCCTTTTGCATTACTGACACTATTTTCCTAGTTGATACTGTAATGCTGCTTTGACACAATCTGTATTGTTAAAAGCGCTATAAATAAAGGTGACTTGACTTGACTTGTAGGGGTTATTTTAGCACAGTTTTTAACCCCAGTCCAGACTTCACTCATTATCAAAGCCTGGCTACGGCCATGCTTGCAGCTCACATAACGGCAGATAAAATATCAGTAACTATTGGCTTTATCAGGAGAACATTAACAACAGTTAGTTCCTGTGTCCTTGAATTTGACAGGCTGTGCGAAAGTAATATTTTGTGTGCTGTAGACAACCTGTCTCTGTCTCACTACATATTTCTCCCTTCATCTCCTTAGTTTTCACTTTCTGTCCCTCCCTTACTTTCTGTTACACCATATCACAGTGTTTCCACTGCATTCATTCTGCCGTGGCAGGCCGCCACACTAAAAATCATCCCCCTCCATGGCTGCAGCATTTCTGCATCATAGTGACGCCGCTCACATCATTCACAGTCGGGTAATTAGTGGAGGAGACAGAGCAGGACTTGAATTTCGGCACAACTACAGAGTTATGTTTTGCACCTTATTGCATGTAAATGGCCAAATACATACAAAATTATGTCAAAATACCCATCTTGGCAAGTGTTCACGTAAACACAGTCGGTTTATATTAAACATAGTCTGTTATTAAGTGAATATAAACTGTTGAGAAGCAAAACGCACATGTAACAGTATATTAGATCCATGCATGAGGTCTTAAAAGAAACAGCAGCCTAAATAAACCTGCTGCTGTCTGTGTCATTACTGTTTATTTATACATGTAAAGACTTTCCAGTGTTATTTTACAGTTGAATTGTAGTAATTCTGTACCTAAATATTACTGTTAGACCGACCTGGAAAACAAAGTACTGTTAGTTTCATTTGTATCTTGTTAATGTTTTTGTTTAAATTCAAATAAATTAATTTCTGAGTTTGAGTGCACATGATTCTTGGGTGGGGAGGTTTAACCACCAGGGGGAAGGAGGCATGATCCACAGGAAACGGTCCTGCCACCACAACTAGAAAAAATTCTACAGGAAACATTGATATCATACATATCACTTTCTGCCTCCCTTGCATGCTGTTTGCAAAATAGAGTCAGGCGTCTTTGAGTTGAACCCTCAAGCGTCGTGGTTAAACTACGCTGATTAGAGCTGAGAGTGACCCTCTGGTGTAAATGTAGTATTTTGTTAATTTGTTTGAAGTATTTAATTTTACATTTCAAGAAAGATGTTTTATAAAAAAAATAAAATTCCTCTGAGCAGTTCACATATCCAAACTTCAGTAAATCTAAACAGAAACATCCTTGTTGAAAAGCATCCTAAAATTACCTTCATACTTCAGACTATAATCTCACACAGGTGACCTTTGACCTTCCAAACTCAGGATATAATCTATTTGTAGGTTTACCCTTCATGAGGCCTATGTAGCTACTTAGCATTTTAGCGTTACAGAGGAGATTCACCAAAATCCACTTTTATTATACTTGTCTTCAACTAAAAATTAAAGACTTAAGTTTGTTTCCTGTAATTTGGCATCTAAATAACAGAAGCCTAATTCACATTACCTATGATGAAATAATTCTGTGCCGCCGTGAAGTTCTCAGCAAGTTTAATCTCCCACATGCCTTGTTGTGATTAAAGGCTACTGTTGCCAATGTAACAGCACACAATAAGGGAAAGGTCACAGCCATGACAGAAAAAACATTATCCTCAGTAATGCCATGGATAATCATTTATATATTTCTTCAAGCAATGTAAAGCCAGTGTTAAAGCATGTTAAATAACTGATACAAATAGACACACAATATAATATTACACTAGAAACCACATTTCAAAATGTAATGTCAGTTTGACTGACAAAATACTCAGTATTTTCAGTAACCTGCAAATGTTACTTTGTAGAACTATTTTTAGCTGATCCAACTTCTCACAGTATTTTCATATCATTAACATGTCAAGATTCAGAATGCTCTAACCTAACGCAAACTGTGCTTATCGGCTGTTCAGTGCACTTATTGTGTTCCAGCTGACTTGAGAGCGAGAATGTAAACAAATTACATTTATTATGGAATTTGAGAATCGATTATGATGACTGTGATCATACTCAATGTGTTACAGAGACTGTCTCAAAGATTGACAAAACAAATGTACAAAATAAATTAAGAAAGATCATCCAGCCAAATTTGAATTTCTCCATTCATATGCATATTTTTTTTACGTTCATTTTCTTTTCATTCCCATGCAGTTGCAGTGTATTATGCATATAGAGGATTGTTTGGAGAAAATACACTGTGTTTATTAAGTGTTATGTAAGAGATCATTTGCAATCAGCCGGTTATTATCGCAAAATAAACCTTGACAAGATGCAACAATATTACATTAATATTATTAATATTAATACTTAATTTTCCATTTAAGTTATTTTTTATTTTAATTTATTTATGATTTATTTAAAAAAAAGAAAATATGTTTAACTTTTTATTTATTTGTTTTTGTTCTGTTTATATTTCATTTTTATTATTCTTTATGTATTTATTGTTTTGTATTCTGGTTGTGTATGTAATTTATTGCTATGACTGTATCCCCTGTGAATGTTATATCTTCAATTTAAAAAATAAATAAATAAATAAATCACTAGCAGAAACTCCAAAAAAAAAAGCCACTGCACAAAACAAATCCCAGCCTGTGAATGTTATATCTTCAATAAAAAATAAAAAATAAAAAATAAATCCCTAGCAGAAACTCCACAAAAAAAAGACACTGCACAAAACAAATCCCAGCCGGGTCCGTCACTTTTTTGGGTCCCCTTGAAACATTTCCGTTGTGGTCCATGCTATTTGCATGTTTGCATGTTTCTTCGTTTGCATGTGTTGTGAGGATTTGCAGCGCGTTTCTTCGTTTGCATGTGTTGTGCGTGTGTTGTCAAACTGATGAAGATGTTTTCTTAATTTGCTGGTGTTTTTTCAATTTGCATGTGTTTTCTTAAGTTGCAGCGCGTTGAGCTCTCTCGGCCACCGTAAATACTGCATATCAATGCAATTAATAAATGAAAAGCAAGATGTTGCCAGTTGTTTTTGTATAAAACAAGAGTTACAGCATTGCCATGGTGAATCTGACTACTAAATACTGCGATTTATAGAGAGCCATGTAATAGATGCCATTTAGTTGTTAATTTAATTATCTTGGTTAATTTGAAGATGGTTGCTATTCATAATAGAATTGATTATGTTTCAGTCAGTAAATGTTCTGTACCATGAAATGCAAAACTATATTGCAGCCTATAGCCTATAAATCATGATTTACTTGTGGATTGAGTTAAAGGTTCTTTTCATTTATTAAATATTCAAAATGTATTATTTGTAATTTATTTTTTAAAGGTCAGTCAGTTGATGTTTAAAAAGGCAACTAAATCATTAGCAATTATTGTATTATAGCACAACGATACATTTGCCTTAAATACAATTCGCACTGATTCATCACATGCCAATATATATGCTAAAATATTATTGAGACACTGTATATGCAATAACTTAAATATTTTTTGTCTGTATATACATACATAGAGAGAGGGATGTCTCTGAAAGAATACATGAAGCTTTTGAATAGCTAAAGTTAGTGATCAAGTTGAATGACTTGAGCATTTGAATTTAAGAGATCAATATTCAGACAAGCAAAAGAAACTTTCAATTATTTACTAATGTGAAATGCGATACAAAACTTTACTACAGGGTAAACAACAAACATCTAAAGTCCAATTTTAAGACCTTTCCAGCATTCTAAAACATTGAACCATTTTCCCAAAAGTATCGTCTTGCTTTGCTTTCATGAAAATCCCTTCATAACAAAGTAATGTAATCAAATGTCTGTGTGTATCTGACAGTACAATGATTAAAGTGGCCTTTAATTACAAAAAAAATATTGGTCACTAACTTGACAGAAAAAGACTTCATTTCAGTCTTGGTGGCCAGCAGGCCGTATCGATGTGCTGCAACACTCAGGTCTTTTAAAGTTCACTCTCCAAATAGAAGGATAGATAAGATACACACAGGCTGAAATGGATATACTCACTTGTTAGAGAGGAATATCCAGAAGGCCACACTGCAGAAGGAACACAGAAGGATGATAGGAAGAAGCCAGAGCATAAGAGTCCTCATAACGCGCATCCACTCTCACGCACAAGCTTTGGCGCACACATAGCCGCTGACATGCATGTGCTCTCGTAAACGCTCATTTAAATACGGATGTTCCCTCTGCCGTCCTCTCCTTATTTTATCCCTGAGTCTGTTTCTTGACAACTGCACCCTTTTCTTTACTCTCTCTCTCTCTTTCTCTCAGACTGTTAATCTCCTCACCCTCCCTCCCTCCTCTTAATGTAACTGCCGCTTGCTCTTTTTCCCTCTCTTTTCTCTACTGACAGGCCTTGGCTTTTTATCACTTCTCTGCTGCTTTACTCTTCTCTTAATCTATCAGCCCAATTTCTTCTCGTCTTCTTGTCCTCCACTCCTTTCTTGGCCGCTATGTTCCTTTAAGGCATCTTTGTTATTTTTCCATGCTTCTCCACCTCATCCTTCCCTCTGTACTTCCTTGTTTTGTAGGAGCTGCTCAGAGTTTCCTTCTGTCCGGTTCCCTAGAAATCTCAAGCTGTGTTTGTGCATTCTCAACCCCCTCCCCCTTTCGCTCACACTGGGCACAACTTGATTGCCCCTCCCTCCGTCCCTCCCTGCCTCCCTGCCTATCTCACTCTCACACACATTCTTTTTCGTTCTCTCTCGGGGTAATAGGAGTGCCGAGTACAGAATTAGCTCATGGCAGCACCTCATGACTGGGAGGAAGGGTTGTGTGCTCTAGAGAAGAGTTTTACCCCTTCATTTCAGCCAATGATGGTCAAAGAATGCAAAGGGCAGCGGCCAATCAAATGCTTGTCTGATGTCCCCCCCCCCCAGGCTACCCCACTTTCTTCTGAGAGTTTGAAGAAGGGGAACAGTCTGTGGTGCTAGTAGTGAATGAAACTTTGTGCATTGCACACTAGAGAAGTACAGAGATAGTTCACCCATTAATTTACTCACCTTTGTGTCATTCCAACCCTTTGTGACTTTCTGTCTCCTGTGGAACACAAAAGAAGATATTTTGAAGAATTGATTTTTTCCATACTATGCAAGTCAGTACCTTTATGATATGTATGATATTCAGACTATGAAAAAAAGAAAAGTCATACAGGTTTGGAAAGACATGGTGAGTAAATGATGATGCTAAATGGTGAAAAATTTCCATCGGATCAATCAGAATCAGAATCAGAATCAGAATGAGCTTTATTGCCAGGTATGTTTACACATACAAGGAATTTGTTTTCGTGACAGAAGCTTCCACAGTGTAACAGAATGACAGTGACAGAACAAAAAACACAGATAATAAAAATAAAAAAATCGAACAAGTAAAATAAGGAATAAAAAATATGTTCTTATACACAAAAACACAGGACCTTATGGAAGTCATATTGATGTCATAAATATGGATTTTAAAGCAATCAGGCTCAAAATATAGATGGATACATCTTGGTTAAGAATTGAGAATGAATATAAAGAAACTTCTTCTAAGCTCATGATGCACTGTGAGACATTTCCTTTGTGGTCTTCATATGATCCTGACTGATGGTAAAATGTTAAAGAAAACAGAAATTACTATACAGCACAATTATTGTACTGAATCATATTTTACTGATGTTGAGTAGTTGATATTTTGAGCAGTGTGACAATGCGACAAACTTCATCTAAGATTGTATAAAAAAGAGTGTGGTAAATAGTTCAGTACCACACTGAGACCTCAGAAAATCCATCACTTTAAAACAGTCACTGATAAATAGCACAGTAAAAGCCTGTTGCATCACAGTACAAGTACTGAGCAATCCTAATTGTGATTCCAAATGATGTTCCTATTATGTGAACCATCAGTAAATATTTTATGTGCTTTGAATTTTTTTATCTGCTTGACCACACCCATAACAGCTTTTCAAGCTGTTTGCTGCTGATATGCTCTTGATCTTGCAGTGAATTAAACTAAACTAAAAGTGTCTCTTTGGATGCATAAAGATGCATGGTGATTAAATAGAATTGATGATGATTATGCGGTGATTTCACAGGTTTTATGAAGTTCTATAGTTGGCGTTTCTTTATCCTTGATGCCTGAAGGATGTTTAACAAATGCAGAGGCATGAGAGTAACCATTTTGTAACATTTTTGGACTTTGTAACCGTTAAAAATTACTCTATATACTAGTATAAATGTGTGTAGTATGAATGTAATCTGAACATACATTGGTCATATGACCTACCATTGTCAGTTGCATTGCTTTTCTGCCATTCACAACACTTCTCCTCAGAATCTCACTGGAAGGTCATCCAGGGACTTTTTAAAGATACCTTTGCTGTTGTATCAGTACTGTGAATCCAGATATACTACTCTTTTAATGCACTGTTTTCTTGCTGTATAGTAGGGAAGGAAGGCAGGCAGAGACATTAATCTAGGCTCAGGATTTTAATAAATGAAATCAAAACAAAACAAAAGAACAAGAAAAGCACAGGGGAATAAGAGCATTACAGAAAACAATGGTTGTCAAAGGCGAAGTGAAACACCAGGGCTGTATATGCACAAGTGAGAACAAAAGCAACCAATGAGTTACTATTGGAACTAACAAGAAGTGAGTGTGGTCCAATGAGTGGCTAAGGCAGACAAACAAGTTACACACTGCGGACGGGGCAGAACACACACAGGGAACATGTAACAGAAGTATGCATATTCAAATAAACTAGGGCGCTATGAAATCTGTTTATTTTTTCCCAAATTCCATTTAAATTTTTCTGGATTCCATTTTATTTTTCTGGACTCCTTTTTAAATGGTTCAATTAAATTGTATTAATCAAAAAACATGTCTAATTGATTAAAATCATGAAACTTACAATTTCACATAAATGTATCAAAAGTTTAACAAAAATTAGGTTATATGAATTTTTTTCTCACCATTTGTTTTATTTGTTACCAAATTATGTGTTTTACATGTCTAATTATTGTAATGCATAAAACAGCTTAATTTATTCAAATTGATTCTTACAATATCCTTATGACACTTTTCCCTCAGAAATTATGTGTTGTATATTTCAATTTTTCTGGTTATCAGAAAAATTCAACAAACTTTATTTTTGGAGATTTATTTTTAAAATTAAATCATGGAAGAAATGTTTTGTGGTTATTCCTTAAAAAATTAAGTTTTAATAATTTTAGTGGCAGTACATTCTACTGAACATAAGCTAATATATTTCTCACACAATGTCTTCAATTTAAACCAAACTTTTTTTTTGACGGGTTGCGTACCTTTTAAGTTTCTGAGTGTGATATAGTTTCTCTCAAATGAAACGGTAAAATGCTCATGGAGTGACTTTCAGAGCACTTCTGGAGATGTATTTATATACTAATTTTAGTGAGATGGCAGACGCTGAAAACACCACGAGCGACACGCGCAGGGTCGTTTTAACCATTGGGCTAGGCGGGGCTGAAGCCCCGGGGCCCGAGCAAGGAGGGGGCCGATGATTGGCTGTGGAGTAGATTGACTGGAGCGCCGATCGCCAAAGCCACCATGCCCCCCACTTGTTAGCGCTGTTATTTAGTTGAGCTTTTTCGTAAATTCCATGCATTACCATTTGAGATTGAAGCTTAAAGTCTTAATTTGGTTTACCAATCAAATGCAATTATTCTATATTTGACATTGGAAGGACATGTGCAGGTATCTATCAGGTCACCTTCACTCTTCACTTCGTTATGAAGTAATCTGGAAATGTTCGCGCAAAGAACAATATTCTATAAGTAAAGATGTCAGCAATCCTGAGAGAGAGGGGAAAATACAAACAACAGGAAAAAAACATAAGTTAGTCCGTAAACTCCCCAGCTATCAGGTTATTTTACTAAAGCTGTTGATGGAGTGGAAGTTGCTGGAACAGCAAGTGAACCGGGCACACGGAGTAGATAAAAACAGTGTCATCGTCCACACAGATTTTAGGTTAGTTTGATTATTAACTGGATTTATATTGTTTTTGTGTTTGAACAAACTGTATTCATTTAAGGGTTGGGAGATAATCTGGTAGAAATATATCAGTCGTTGATTGAAGCGCGTCATGATGTAGTCTCAGCTTATCATTTCAAGGAGTTTTAAGCAGGTTTTAAAACAAATGGTTTAAGCTGTTAATGAACAGTAAGCAGTGGGGCAGAATTCATTCTGGTAAATGCGTGCATTAACGGTTTCAGCCTGATTCGCGCGGCGCGCACCTGCTCGTATTGCGACTAACTAAACTTTTTGCTCCTTGCGCTTAAACGTTCAAATTCACAGTTATGTGTCAAAAATTCTCGTCTTTGCGGTTATCCTCGTAAACAGTTATTTGTGTCTTAAGTGAGCGTTAATAGTTAAAGATAAAGCATGTGTAGGCTATATGAGATCCTGGATTAGCCTCTATGATGAGATCTTAAAAGGATATTCACCCAAAAATTAAGATAGCCTGTCATCATATACTTAAACTCAAATTGTTCTAAACCTTTGAGTTTAGAACAATTCTCCTCAACATAAAAGAATTTATGTTCTCCTCAACATAAAAGAAGATATTTTGAAAAATGATTGCAACCAGTTTCTGGTCCCCATTGACTCCAATAGTGTATTTTCTTTCATAAAGTCATGGGGGCCCAGCAACTGTCTGATTACCAGTATTGTTCCAAATATATTATTTTACATTCAACAGCATGAAGGGATCTCATACAGGTTTAGAACAACAACAGAATTTTCATTTTTGGGTGAACTATTCCTCTAAAGCAGCCTAATATAGCTGCTGTTACCATTTGTGTCAATAATGTAAATCAAACATCAGAAAGAAAATCACTTACTGTTCTTCCTATCACTTTTGTAAAATAAATAAGAATGAATGTATATTGAATATATATACAGTGAATAGACCATTCAGTCTATTTGTCCATTTTCTTTATACATTATAATATTATTCAGTGCTTTCAAGTTTTTCAAGTAGGCCGATTTCTTATGATCTTTGTTCTGTTGTAGCTTAATTTGTGACTGTTTACTTGTCTTCAGTAAGCTTATTTTTACTTAGGCTAGTATTATTTTTTTGCGATATTGAAAGTGGTAACAAAAATTATGAAATGTCATTGCATCAAGAATTTTGATGTGGGATAAAAATCCTGTTTAAAGCTTTATATATATATAATTATTGTGATGGATGGGGGGAGGGGCTTGCAGTAAGTCATAGTCCCGGGGCCCAGTACAGTCTTAATGCGGCCCTGGTTATCCTAGACTTCTCTGTTTGCTTCAGCCCCAAACTCTGTCATTGTTTGGATTGTTTATTGTGTATGACCTTACCCTGTTTTTAGATTACATTTGTGGATTACCCCTTCAATAAATACTACGTTTGGATCCTCAGCCTTCATGTCTCTGTGGAGTCTGTGACAGTTTCCATATTTAAAGGCTGCCTGACTTACTGATACTTCTATGTGAGAGACTGTTCTTATGTTTGCATCACTATATGTAGAGAGAGAGAGATTACATGTTGTGGCTATAGTATTTTAATGTTTATGGATTAGTCCTGTTGTAAGTGTCACGAATGCTGTCAAATGAGCTT